TTTGATCCAGATTTCCTGGATATCCCTGCACTGGCTTCCAATACCCCAATGGATACAATTCTAAATATTACCAACCACTTGCAAAGCCATCCTCAACACTCTGCCCCCGGCTATATCTCAAACCTTGTCTCAAAGCATCACCCTAACCGTCCCCTCCGCTCTTCAAAAGACCTCCTGCTTTTCAGCTCCCTCATCAACTCCTCCCATGCTCGCCTCCAGGACTTCACTAGAGTCTCTCCCATCCTATGGAACTCTTTACCCCAACCTGTCCGTCTATCTCCTACACTGACTGCCTTTAGGCGATCCCTTAAGACTCATCTCTTCAAGGAAGCTTTCCAGAGTGGGGGGAAATGTGTTAACCTTTGCAGATGCTTTAACAGCTTGCATCTCAGATGCATGGCTGCAGGAGTTAGAACCTGAGGGCTACAAATTGTAGTTTTACTCCTTGCCCCCTCCTCTGTTTTGGCATCGTGTGCCTGTTTCTCAGGTTTGTAAGGCTGCCACCTGGTCTTTTGTTCACAAGTTCTACCAGGTGGACTTTTCAGCCTCCTTTGATGCTAGCTTCAGACATAAGATCCCTCGGGCTGCTCTTGCCTGCTGTAGGCAGTCCCATGTTCTGTTGTTTTTTTTTTAATTGGAGTGACCTGCTTTTGAACTTCCTGAAGATTTAAAACTTCCAGAGTCCCTTAGTGGACAAGAAGGAAGTTAGAATTGTTGTACTTACTGTAAACTCTTTTTCTTGGGAGTCTATTGACGTGCGCAGGTTCTACCCCTCTGTGTTTATGATTGCACTGCTTTGCTACAAACCTATGGCATGCTGGTAATAGGAGGGGTTATACTGGGATGGCCTACATATTTTTTTTGTTTTGCCAGTGACAATCCTTTGTAGGCGGCAGTGTTCATATCTTCTTTAATGGACTCCAAGAAAAGGATTTTATGGTGAGTACAACAATTCTATTTGTCCCTCGAAGCTCAAACTTTTACAAATCCAGCTATGGCAGCTGACATGTTTTTTTATATTCAACTTTCTTTAAATTATTACAGTGTGCTGCTTTTGACGCATTGTAGGTCAAAAAACAGATTTTAGCAGTATGTGTCTGTATTTATCGAGTTAATCACTTAGCTTGCTACCTGCCTCTGTAACATAATGTTCCTTCGTTTTATACAGCATGTTTCCTCATAATTCCCTCCAAAGCAAGCCAGCATTCTATATCTTTTAGTTTTCACTTAATATGGTCACTTGTTGCCTGTGGAGAAATGCCACGTAATGTATTTCTTTCCTGAAAATGTATTTGACTGAAGGGCTCTTGAAAACTTGACGAAGGAAATGAAAGACTGAGGGAATGCTGATGACAACCTTACTGCGAGAAAGCAAGAGGAAACTGTCACTATCTTGATGATTGGAAATTTGGATTGCAAAAAGCAATTTGTTCTTATTGATATAACTGCCCACCCCTTTAATCCATAAATGAGAACTATAAATGTGTTCTGAATATCCATATTTAAAGCTGAACTCTAGGCATATCTCTAAATACACAGATGAAATGCATACGAGGTTGAGTCAAAACTCACTTTTATTGTGCAGGTGTGAACGTGTCGCGTCAGTTCATTTGTAACTGCGGTGCAAGAAAAAATGGCTGCCCCACTTGTGATTTGCACGAAAGAAGAGCAGCGTGCAATGATTCGTTTTTTTGTGGTCTGAGGGTGTGCCTGGTCCCATTATTTATCGAAGACTTTGTTTGCAGTATGGAGAAAGTTTTTTGGCGTGAAAAAGTGTGTATGAATGGAAGTTCAAGGAAGGTCGCACATGTGTTAGCCATCAAGTTGGAGCCAAACGCCCATCCACATCCACGGCTGGGGACAACTTTGAGCATACACGTGAAATGATTCTGTCGAATAGACAAGTGACCGTGTATTATGTGGCTTTGCTCCCCTGAAAGCAGCCCTATGAGGACGAAGATTCACCTGTGATGAAGAAGTGAAGACTGGTGCATTTGTGGCTCACAGCTCAGCCTAAAACATTTTTTAATGAGGGAATATGAAAACTTGTTGATAAATGGTCAGTGTTGAAAAACAAGTAGATTATGTGGAAAAATTTATGTATTTGTCTTTTCGAAAAGTTGTTTAAAATAAATTCTACAGCCAGAGTGCAGATAATTTTGGACTCTTCCTCGTACATGTGAGCTATTTTACCAGACAAAGGATATGTGTTTCTGTCCATCCTGTTGAGATTTTTTTTATACACAGCACAGCCTTGTCTGGAAGGGACAGAGACCAGATTCCTGGTAGGATCAACTGTGTTTTCTTGTCAAACCAATATAACAAAACACCTTCAAATGTTTATTTGAAAAATTCAAAGGGCTTGAATGGAGTAGACTTGCAAATATATGTGGAAGCCACACTGCATCATCAAGGCTCCTCTGTGAAGTTTGGTCCCTAACTCTATGCTCCAAGATAGGAGATCTGTTTAAACTATATCGCAATTAATAAATTAAGGGCAGGTACATCTGGAGGTGGCCCATTCCTCCTTAAAAGTGCAGAGAAACGCTAGAAACCCAGCACAACACAATAGCAGTTGAAAACCTCCATTGTGCCTCTGTGTCGGATCCAGTAAACAAAACAAAAGCGGCTCCAATCAATTAATTACTAGCTTTTTTAAAGTAGGGTGCACATGGGCATGGCACTTCACAGAACAATAATATACACTTCAACCTAATATTCAAAATGAAACTTGACCCTAAAATTCAACCTAACACTTGGCTCCGTATAACCCATACTGAAACCAGTAAGCATAAACTCTAAACTATTCCTAACGTTAAACTTATCCCTGCTGATCCTTACTTGGCTTCTCCTTACTTGGCCATCCTTTCTTGGCTTCTCCTGCCCTAAAAGTATTACACTGTCCCATGGCCATGCCGATTGTGGAAAGTCCTATTTCTGTGTCAATATCATACTATATGGGGGAGCCATAGTTCAACAATCTACATTTTAGTCAGAGTTTGAATAAAATAGCCCTCATGTTTTCGGCTCCTAAATGGTAAATTAACAGAATTTGAATAGTGACATCTGGGGGTTGATTTACTAACCTTATAAACACACCACGAACATGTATACACCTCTGTAGTGTGTTCCCTCCCAGCATGATCTATGGGTGGAATCTAAACACCTTTTGTAGTGTGTACACACCCAACAGGTGTGTTGTGCAAAGCCCTGCATGAATTACAAGGTGATGTTGTGTAAATTAGCTCTACGTTGTGTTGCTTGCATTGATGAATGCAGGAATGTAAATGCATGAGCTAACCATTTTTGTCTAAACTGTAAAGCAGTAGTATATATGCATAATGTGCATGATTTTTCCATATATGGCATTAGTGGAAATATGCTTTTAGAGACTTTTTGGTTGATAAATACGTTTTGCTGTGTGAAAATCACACGCACCTGGTGCGTGCGTGTGTTTTAGGTTAGTAAATCACCCCCCTGGTGTATACTGCCATAAAGTCCTGGGCACAGTTTAACAACATAAGATCCCCACAGGTACATGTCAAGTTGCACATTCACTAATAAATATTAGTGGTCTCTGCAGCCTATTCAAAAATATTTCCAGCTGCACAACCTTACTATGCACAGGCTGCTTTTTGCCACCACTGAAGGGGACTGTTGGAAGACCAGAGGCTTTATTTTCATTAAGTTAAATGAGCAACCTATCTCCCGGGATTTGATGCTTCACAGCACAGCAGGATATACTCAAGCCAGGAGACTTCAGGCAGTATTGCTGGAAGTGGGAGTTTAGCAATGGCATTTATTAGAGGCGACTAGGACTAGTACAAATGTATAGGTGGTAGCGTAGTAGTTAGTGCTTCTGCAGCATTAGGTGTCCCAGGTTTGAATCCTGGCCAGATCACTATCTGCAAGGAGTTTGCATGTTCTCACTGTGCATGCGTGGGCTTCCCCCGGGTACTCTGGTTTCCTCCCACACTCCAAAGACATGCTGGAAGGTTAATTGGCTCCTGTATAAATTGGCCCTCATATTAGGGATGTTCAGATACCAGTGCCGATACTTGACATTTTCATGAGAACTACCAGGGTTGCAGCTGTGACAGGGCCATGGCGCTCCACCACTGTCCGGAAATCATTAGTCTCTATTGTTTTAGAAAAACTGTCACATGACAATAAACAAAAAGGTATTAGCAATTTTATCTGTGAGTACTTGAACAAGTACCTGTACTTGGTCTGGAAAAAATTGCATTGGTGCATCCCTAATTTAGGTATATATAAAACAAATCATACATTAAAACAGAGATGTACAAATCACAGGAGCTCCGTGTGCTCCTTACAAATGACAGCTGCCTCCTAACTCTTGAGTTTTTCTCTAGTATAGTCTTGGAGCTGGAAAAGTACCTGTACTTGTACTCTTACCAAGTATGGTGCTTGGTATCTGAACATCCCTACCTCATTTGTATGCATGTGAGATAGGAACCTTAGATTGTAAGCTCCTTGAGGGCAGGGACTGATGTCAATGTGGAATGTAAAGCACTGCGTACATTATCTGCGCTATATAAATACCTGAAATAAATAATGACATTTCTATTTTATACACAATCTTGCCTATAGTGCTTTTCTCTTAATCTGGGTTCCATTTTGTGTAGATTTCCATAGAACATACATTGTTACTGAAGTAGCTAGCTGCAGCAGATGAAGATGAGCTCTCATGTCACAGGTTCCTGGTATTTACTGCCTAATATTAGGGTGTTTTGAAGCTTTCCTAACTTTCTATTTCCCAGAAATGCATTGACCTGTTTTCACAGCTGGTAAAATTATTGGTCAGACGTCGGTTTATCTTCAGTCCTAAGACCAAAACGAGTTTTTTATTCTGACACCAGTGTGGTAATTGAGCAATTTACCTAAAGCATGATGTTTAGATATAATTGCTTCTTCGGTTTGCTTTCAGTGGAATTTATTCAACTGTATAGAATTAATTCTTTTTTTTTGTGTGTTCACAGACGAATGTAAATTCGAAGTCTTAAAACGTAGAAAGCTTCATGGCAAATCTGTCCCGCATTACGCAGCTATTGAACCGGATGGGAACGGCTTGATGATTATCTCTTACAAGCCCTTCAGATTCATTCCAAATGAACAAAATCAAGCTGAAGAGGAGAGCATGGAACAGGATGAAAAGAAAGGTAATATTTAAACTGATATTTTCTGCTGCACAGTTGGGAGCAATTTTGCTCCAATATGAGCTGATGCGTTTGAAATGGACTCCTTCCTGTACATACTAATACATGTATTTCTGATCTTCTGACAGTTCCTGCCCTCCCGGCTTTAGAACAAAAATAACTTCCTTCCTAAGGACAACCTCTTGTGCTTTGCATATTCCTTAAAGAGTACCTGTATTACCAGCATCAGGATAGTACACTAAAGTCAAAAGCGTATGTCAAGGAACAAAATAGATCTATGCAGTACATATCTGCAATACATGCACATTTCTCCATGTTTCATCCCCTAAAGTCCCTCTTTACAAAAGAATACCTGTTGATCTTCCAAAAATGCATCCAGTGTCTTTTGCTAAACTACTAGTAACGCTAAAGCTAATCATTCTAATATAATAATTATAACTAGGGATGCACCGATATATCGGCCGCCGAAATATATTGGCCGAAAATGGCACTTTTGGCATAATGCCAAAAGTGCAATTTTCTGGCCGATACAGCTGTGTATCCGTTCTTTCTCTCCTCCCCGCTGGGTGCTGCTCTGTGTTTTAGCGGGGAGGAGAGAAACTGCCATGGGCGGCTGAGCGCTGCGGGAGGAGAGAGCTGTGAGCGGCCAGCATCTCTTCTCCCCGCACTGCTCAGCCTCCTTTCACAGATCAAAAGAGAGTGGTGTGGGGGGCGAAGACAGCAAGCGCTGTCGCAGGAGGCTGAGCTCTCCTTCCTGCACCGCTCGCTCAGCCTCCTTTTGACAGCGTGTCAGGATGGAGAGCGGGTACAAATACTCAGCAATCAGTGATCGCTGAGTGTTTGTAAATAATTAAGGACAGAGTATTACTGTGCCCCCAATTATGAATGAATAGGAGTGATCTAAACCACCTCCTGTTCATTCATGACTGTAGTTATAGTAAACATACTCTGTTCTCAAGTTATGGATGAAGAGCAACACTCATAGAGGATTCTTGTTCATTGATAACGGGGCCTGCAGAAAAAGAGATTGAGGACTGTGTGTCCTCAATCTCTTTTTCTATTTTAAAAGGGAAATATCAGGGGGCTGTTTAGATCCCTAATATTTCCCCAAAGCCTCTGAAAGTAAAGTAAAAAATAAAAATATTTAATAAAAAATAAATGTAAAAGTTTATAAAATAAAAATAAAATCGTTTTAAAAATGTGAAAAAGTTCAAATAAAAAAACATTTTCGGTTTTGGCCTGACATTTTTTTTAATTTTGGTTTGGTTTCGGTTTTGAAATTTTAATTTCAGTGCACCTCCTAATTCTAACCATTTGAGGCAGCAAAGGAAGTGTGCAGAGGACATTGCATAACTCTGACATGATGAACAGGTTTTATTATTCTCCTCAAACAAATATAACAAAATGTTTACAACTGTATATTAATTGGACCAAATGTGAACAAATAAAGAGTTCAATGTTAGGATGTGCATGCACTTTAAAGTTGATGTAAACTAGTTCACTAAAAGCTCATAAAAGCTTTAACATGTTTCTATAATTTCAAAAGTCATTGTAGTCAAGTAGAATTAAACCATCAAACGTCTTTTTTTATATAAAATTCAGATCAAACAAATATTAATTGACTTGCCTTGCCTGTGTGTTTGTTTGTGAAGGCACACACCGCTTACTGGCACACACAAGGGTGGCTTCATAGGACCCTGCAAGAGAAAGGAGTCACTCTAAGACAGGATATCAAGACCGGTTCACTGTGGACCACCTGATTCTGCAGGAACGAAAAACTTTTAAACAAAAACTAGGAGCAGCATTTATTGTAAGTGATTTAATCAAAATTTGAGATCGCTTAAAAACCTTTTGACTTTTTAATATCCCTTTCAATATTTTTTTTTTTTTTTTTTTTTTTTTGCAATAAAGCCTGCATTCACAGACTCTGGCAAAGTATTCCCCCAGTCTCAGGTCCCTACCGACGTATAGACTTGTTGGAAGAAGTGTGGCTAGAACTATGGAGCACGAAGAGGCAGCACCAATGCGCTCAGCATTGTCCCTCTGTTGTGGCGGCAGTCTGTTCTTGTAGTTATTGTTTGTAAACAATGCTGCACCTGGATGACTAATGCTAAATTCAAAAGGTAACACAATTCTGCATGAAGATCCACCCCACAATCACCCCGTAATTCAGGTAAAGGGGTGGAGGTGTATAGTTTGGGTTTCGGGTATGGTGTATGCCACCACGCTTCATGTTATCCCCTGAATATGGGTGCAGCATGAAGCATGATCTATAACATGGATTTACGTTTTGATACTCTTTTTTTTTTTTTTT